GGGGAAGAGGCGGGGCCAGGGCGGGGATTTGGGGAGGGATCCAATGGGGCAGTGAGGAGGCGCAGTTGGGGTGGGGCCGGGGTGGAGTTGGGGCGGGGGGGGGGGGGCGCGAAACAATTTGCGTCCCAGCGTGGGGCCCCGCACATGCTAAAGCCGGCCCTGCTGGGAGGGTGGGTAGCGCATGGCCACAGCCTCCCAGCTCGGGAGGGCCGGCGGCACGGCCCCAGCGGGGGCCTCCGCACAGGGGGACTGGAGCCGCAGAGTAGGAAGCAGGACATGGGAGGCCTGGGGGTAGAGCATGGGCAGGGCCATGCCTGGCTGTCTGGGGAGGCATAGCCTTCCCCAGCCTATGGTACCCACTGCTCCTGGTTCTGTGGCCTGCAATGTGCAGGAGGTCAGACGAGATGATCACAGTGGTCCCTTCTGGCCTTAAAAGTCTATGAGTCTATGAAGCACTGAGCTACTATGGTCATGAGAGTCATGACAGAAAAGCCCCCCATGAGAAAATTAATAATTTTGTCTTCTCAGAAGGGTTTGAATAGTGTGCAGTACATAAGGTCTTGGGGCATACATTGAAGAATGAGAAGATAGCCACATATTGAATAGCAGCTCATTAACTGAGCACCATCCATCTTATACATTATCCGTTCCCAGACTGTAGGTCATGATCCCTACTGTGCGGATGACGCCATTTTGCTCCACATAGTGTGACTTTGCACATACGATATGTGTGAAGTCATAATGTTCGGAGGACAGCATTTTGCTCTTCAAAATGGTATCCTCCATGCAGCATGACCTCACACGCACCGTACATACAAGGTCACGCTGTGCGGAGGGCGCCATTTGGCTCTTCAAAATGGTATCCTCTGTGCTGTCTGGGGTCCCCGGGAGGAAATAGTCCATTAAAATGGGGCCATCCCTGCAAAGAGTTTGGGAACCCCTGTTGTACATAAATGTGGAAGGAGCCTTGTGAAAAAATGTATGTGATCAAAGACTGTGTCAGAACGTATACACACAAGGGAGCTCAATTAAGGTTGCACAGCTAACGAATGCCAGAATTGAGGTTAACTTTTGAGTGTTTGACTTTGCAACCTTAATATGTTCTTTTAACATAGATTTTTGTGTGTAATTTAGACAAGCCTTCGATAGCTTGAACCATTAAAGCAGAGTAGTGTGGACCTGGTCCAAAGCCCATTGAAGTCAGTGGGAAAATTTCTATTAACTTCAATGGGTGTTGGCTCAAGGCCGGTAGCAGGGAGCTGTGCCACTCCCAAGGGAATCTCCAGGACTCACTGCGTACTTAAGAACACAGACAAAGTGAAGTCAATTTATCATTTATCTTTACCATTTCCTTGAGTGACAAGGACATATTGAGCATCTCTGATTGCATCAGGCAGCAAATTCATTCACCAGGGCACACAGTAACAAAATGCCCTAATTCCCAATGATGATTCAAGTTTACAAACTGGGGTAAACCAATTTAGACTGTAATATTTGGCTTGGAACTTAATGGAGAGAAGACTGGCTAGTTAGTCTGGCTCAGAGCCATTCAGGCATAGAACCGGAGTAAAAGAACTTTGAAAGCTTTGTGTCTTTAGCATGAAAACAAATTTAAACAAGTAAGGATCAGAGATCCAGAGATCCATTTGTTTCAGTGTTGCCAGATTGGCCCTAGATGGTGATCTGGCTCCTGGTGAGGAAGGAAAGCTCTGGAAAAATAAATACTGATAAACAGCAGGTGAGGAAATACATGGGAAATTTGAAGCTAGTGGGTGAAATTCTGGCCCCACTAAAGTCAATGGGACTTTTGCCATTAACTTCAGTGGGTCAGGATTTCACCTACGCACCAGCTAGTCTGAATGACATATCTCCTGTGATATGAAGGGTACTAGCTAAGGCCTGGTCTACACTGGGGGGATCGATCTAAGATACGCAACTTCAGCTATGACAATAGTATAGCTGAAGTCGACGTATCTTAGATCGAATTAAAATTACTTACTTCGCATCCTCGCGGCGCGGGATTGATGGCCGTGGCTCCCCTGTCGACTTTGCTTCCACCTCTCGCCGAGCTGGAGTTCAGCAGTCGCCGGGAAAGCGATCGGGGATCCATTTATCACATCTACACTACACATGATAAATCAATCCCCGATAGATCGATCGCTACCCGCCAATCCAGCATGTAGTGTAGACCTATCCTAAGCGACTTACTTTCCCGCTGACTATTATTTTGGAAAATCATGGGCAAGTGGGGAGGGGGTCAAGAGTCTGGAGTAAGCGAATGCTGTACTGATTTCAAAGAAAGAAAAGAGAATGATCCCACAATTAATGAGCTCCATTAATGAACTTCTGTCTCTTGTAAACTAATGTAACAAATATTGAGAAAAAAAATATCACTGAATGTCAAGAAAAGACTAGAATCCTGTGCAATGAGCAGGCGTTTTAAGGAACTGGCCTTGTCAGCCAGTCTTGACTGAACAGAATTATAAAAGTAGGGGATGAAGGGATGTAGATGTAGTAGATTTGGGGCTTGTCTACATATACAGTATACATGTACTGATACAGCTGCTCCACTGTAGTGCTTAGTGAAGATGCTACTTACAGCGATGGGAGAGTTTCTCCTGTCAACATAGCACTATCTACACCAGGAGTTCAGTCGCTATAACCGCGTCGCTCTGGGGTGTGGATTTTCCATACCTCTGGGTGACATAGTAATACCGACAGAAGTCTGTAGTGTAGATCAAGCCTTGGACACAAGTAATATTCAGGCTCTGATTCAGCCAGGTACTTAAGTACGTGCGTTATTTTGACCATGTGAGTTGTACCCTGACTTGGTGAACAGGGGTCTTGATGCTGTACCTAGAGGACTGAAAACCAGCGGAAAGGTCATAAACAAAGTATAACAATAAGCAGTAGTGTATCAAATCCATTGGAAGTGATCTGTGCGATATTACAAGATCCAGTATTACTTAACATTTTCATTGATGGTCTGGAAGAGAGAGCACATAGCATGCCAATGAGACACTAAAGAAAAGAGATGGGGCTTGGAAAAAATGCAAAAAAATATATATGGAGAACAAACACTCCAAAATATAGCTGTTCTGGGGAAGGAAAGCAATAATGCTGAAAGAAGGCTAGAAGTGGTAGCGGAGAGCAGTCTGCAGTGCACCAGGATATAGCAACCGAAAAGGTCAGTGTAGCTTTGGGCTGCATCCACAGAGGCATCATGGATCAGGCAGGAAAAGTAAGAGACACTGTGTTACACCGATATGATCACATCTGGAATACCACATGCAGTTTTAGGTACTGTGACGGGTTCGGCCACAGAGATCCCCTGGGAACTGTCACCTGGTGTGCTGAAATTACCTCTGAGCCCATTTTCCCTGCCAGCTTGGGACTTCCAGAACCCTGTCTTATTGAGCCAGACATGCTTGCCTGCTGCAACACAGACCCAGGGTCTGGGCCACACCCCCAAAGCTGCAGACTTAATTGAAAACAGTTCAGCAGGTTACCTATCTCCAGCACCCTGACACCCAGTTCCCAATGGGATCCAAATGCCAAATAAATCCATTTTACTCTGTATAAAGCTTATACAGGGTAAATTCATAAATTGTCCGCCCTCTATAACACTGACAGAGAGATATGCACAACTCTTTGCTCCCCCTAGGTCTTAATCACTTACTCTGGGTTTATCAATAAACAAAAGTGATTAAGTATAAAAAGTAGGATTTAAGTGGTTCCAAGTAATAACAGACAGAACAAAGTAAGTCACCAAGAAAAATAAAGCAAAAACGTGCATGTCTAAGCCTAATACATTAAGAAATTGAATATAGGTAATATCTCACCCTCAGACATTTTCCAATAAGCTTCTTTCACAGACTAGACTCCTTCCTAGTCTGAGCCCAATCCTTTCCCCTGGTACAGTTCTTGTTAGTTCCAGCTCAGGTGGTAGCTAGGGGATTTCTCATGACTGGCAGCCCCCTTTGTCCTGCTCCACCCCCTTTTATAGCTTTGGCACAAGGCAGAAATCTTTTGTCTCTTTGGGTCCTCACCCCTCCTTATAAATGAAAAAGTACCAGATTTTAGATGGATTTCATTATCGGGTGACATGGTCACATGTCACTGTAAGACCCCAGTCTCCATTTTTCCTGGGTTGGCCCACAGTACACAGGAAGGCTTGCAGGTAAATAAACCATTTACAACCAATTGTCCTAGTCAACGGGAGCCATCAAGATTTAAACTGCCATTAATGGGCCACACTTTGCATAATTACAATAGGACCTCAGAGTTATACTTCATATTTCTAGCTTCAGATACAAGAATGATACATGCATACAAATAGGAGGAACATATTCAGTAATTTATAATCTTTGTTATGATACCTTACAAGAGACCTTTTGCATAAAGCATATTCCAGTTACATCATATTCATAAGCATACTTTCATAAAGCATATGGAGTGCACCATCACAGGTACTACATATTAGAAAGTGAGCTTGGAGATCTTTACACCAGGTGTAGGATGTTCAGACATGTGAACAGATGCTCCCTGCAAGGCTGTGAGCTGCTGAACAACTTGTATCTTAGATAGGGGCTCCTGAGGAGAAACGATTGAATAATCTTGAGGGAATCAAAGCCGCATTTGTCAGTAGCTCTGAATCTGTTTTGCTCAGCACTGGGTTCAGGTTGGCAAAGTTGAGTAGGTGATATAGTTTTAGTAATGGACCTAAGACTCAGATTCATCCACAAGCAAGAGGGTGGTAAGATGCTCAGTTTTATACTTGAAGATGTAGTCACGAATACGTTACCAAGAGTGGGCCAGAGCATCTCTTAGCAAACATTTAGAGCCAATTATCTGTGCTTCTAGTCTGTGCAGGCTTGGCTCCATAAAGTTATAGGACAAACTTTGCTGAATATCTTTTAAACAAGTGGAGACAGCAGAGATTTCAGTAGAACGTTCTCTCAGTGACTGGGACGCGGACAGTCGTGCTTAGTGGTTGGAGCTGGAATCGGGAGCCAGGAATCGGAGCCTAGGGTCGGCGCTGGACTGGGGGGCAGGTGCCAGAGACAAGGGTAAGCGCCAAAGTAAGGAATCAGAGCCAAGGGTCAGGACCAGGTTACCTGGAGCAAGGCTGGGTCCAAGGCAGGAGCAGGGCTGGGAACAAGCAGACACCCTATCATAGCTGTGGACAAATGCTTTGAGCAGCCACCAAACTACTGCCGCTGCTGGGCTTAAGAGCTGGTCTGCTGACTTTCCCAATCAAACAGGTGGTGTAGACCATCAGGCATCCTACTACAAGCCAGCTGCGCTCGTTAGGTTGCCCAGAGTCTGATGCTGTTGCAGGTCCTGATTCCTGACACATTCAGATGGAAGACATACTATGCTTTGGATATGTTTTCCATTCCCTAGAAAGAGAGGCACCATCCCTTGGTAACTGGAAATGTCCTCAAGAGAGGAGCAATTTTATGAATAACTGGATGCTGTCACCTTCAGATTTAAAGTGGTCCAACTCAGTTCTCTAATTCTGACTGGGTGAAAATCTGAGATGCTCTGATCATGATGGCAGATGATGACTTTGAAGGTATTCCAGATTCATGTATAGATCAAACTGTATTTTGAATGCAGAAACGACCTACAGCATTGATTGACTGCATGTGTCACACAAACGGAGAGGACCCTCCTTCTCCAGGAGCACGGTATCATGTTTCTCTGGTGATTGCAACTGGGCCAGTGAGGAGGGTGAGGTACTATATCTGAGGTCTCCCAAGGAGTTTCATACAGCATAACCACCAGGACCCCACAAGCTCCAGTGATTATAGCTCTTTTCTCACAGAACATTATGCCAGAGCCCTTGTCCTAAATTGAAACCCCATAGAATTCTGCGGGCTCTTCAGGGTACATGATGTATAATTCACACTAGTAATTAACATGCAGCCCAAAAACTTACATGTGGGATGTATGGGCCAAATCCTGAGGATCCTACATAGCTTTTACTCAATCCCCATTTAGCCAAAATTCCTGAGTTCTGGCTGAGTAAGGACTTCAGGATCTACACGGCCCGTTCTGTGATCATATTTACACTGAGACACACTTATTAATGCAAGCGGCCTCATTAATTCCGACTGCAGGAGGAAGCTCATGGTTGCAAAGCAGAGGCTGTACCCGCGTTGTGTGAAAAATCAATAGTTTGTGCACAGGACTAAAACGAACCCTTTTATCAGAATTTCCCCCGAAGGAAAGGGGAGCTAAGTTAGCTCAGTGGTATCCAAAAGACAATCCCTAACTCTGCCTTCTGGGAAGATCCCCGTCTTGACATCCCACACCGGCCATTGCCACGCCTGCTCTGCTGTCCTTGCACTAAGACCTGAGAGTTCTCCTGGTCTACAAAGGAGCTAAACGTAACCCCTTTTGCCAGTCCTCCATCTGCTATTTCAACTAAACAAAAAAATCCACTGACGTCGACGCTTCGCTATTCCTCAACTCACTGACAGCAAGCGAATCCGAAAGGCATATGGATCGTCTCAGAAAATACAAACAAACAAGCAAACAGCCAGCCAAGTTTTCCAACCTCAGCAGGGTTTGCTGATTATTACAGTGCTAATGGCCTGAATGTGCCCTAGGCAGGAATGACCCATAGGGGGACTGAAGGCTCTGTGAGGGTCCCCATGCAGAGCTTCCCAGGCATTCTCCCTGGGGCCACGCAGAATTTGTTCACCTCTGGGAAACAAGCTGGGGGGTAAGCTCCGCAAACCAGCCTGCCAAGATCTGCATGGACCACAGGGGATCTGTGGAGGTCAGGGTAATCGGCATAGAGCCCCCTGGAGCTCTGCACTGACTTCTCTTCTGACTCTCCTGTGTCCCTCTGGCTCGGACAGAATGGCTGGGTAGGAGCTGTGTAGTCATGGGAATCTCACGCTGTCTGCAGAGCCTGCTCCCCCTAGGACAGATTCCACCCTGCAGTGGGGAAGCCAGGCTCTGGATTAATGTACCCATAACAGACCGGCTGAGCAGAGGGAAGGAGCAAGCTACAGCCAGTGACTGCCCACTTAGCCCAACCCTATTCTGTCCCCTACCTCGCCCCAGCAAACCTTGCACAGCTCTCATTAAGGGACTTCCATGGGGCATTCCCCGCATCACGATCTCCCTGTCACACCCACCAGGGTCTGGTTTCCTTCACCTGCAGAGGCAGAGGAGATGACATGGTCCTTCAGTTACCTTCACCATATGAACCCATTGCAAGCAGAGCAGCAGCTATGTCTCAGGTCAGAGCTGTCATCAGCCATTTCTTCCAATGGGAGGGTGCAGTCCACGCCTTATCCAGAAAGAAAGTAGCATCTGTGGGAGAAAGAAAGACATATGTCTGGCCTCCACAGTGAACCCTGCGCCTGGCAGGAGAAAGCAACACTTATTCCAGACCCAGCTTTTCATTCCTGTTGTAACAGTCATAAACGCCTGCTGACACCAAAGAAGAACAAGACCGTAATCCTAATAAAACAACATTCTTGAACCCTGACAACTAGATGGAGCTTTTTCAGGCCAATTGTAAAATTATATTCATTCCAAGAGCTGCACATTCTGCAAGCGCTGTATGGAGGCTGCCAGACGACCTTCCCCAAGATGCAGTGCGATGCAATACAATACACAATAGATGGAGGTTAAAAATTAACCATCCTCACCCCTTCATGGTCTGTTCCCCGAAACGATCAGGGATTCTTCCATCCTCAAGTCTTTGGGGACTCCAGCTGAGAGAAAGCTGAGATCATAGGATAGGATTAAAATTCAAAATGATCTGGACAAACTGGAGAAATGGTCTGAAGTAAATAGGATGAAATTCAATAAGGACAAATGCAAAGTACTCCACTTAGGAAGGAACAACCAGTTGCACACATCCAGAATGGGAACTGACTGCCTAGCAAGGAGTACTGCAGAAAGGGATTTGGGGGTCATAGTGGATCACAAGCTAAATATGAGTCAATAGTGTAACACTGTTGCAAAAAAAAAAAAAGGAAACATCATTCTGGGATGTATTAGCAGGAGTGTTGTAAGCAAGACACGAGAAGTAATTCTTGCGCTCTACTCCGTGCTGATTAGGCCTCAACTGGAGTATAGTGTCCAGGTCTGGGTGCCACATTTCAGGAAAGATGTGGACAAATTTGGGAAAGCCCAGAGAAGAGCAACAAAATGATTAAAGGACTAGAAAACATGACCTATGAGGGAGATTGAAAAAATTGGGTTTGTTTAGACTGGAGAAGACTGGGGGGAGGGGACATAACAGTTTTCAAGTACATAAAAGGTTGTTACAAGGAGGAGAGAGGTAAATTGTTCTCGTTAACCTCTGAAGACAGGACAAGAAGCAATGGGCTTAAATTGCAGCAAGGGAGGTTTAGGTTGGACATTAGGAAAAACTTCCTAACTGTCAGGGTTGTTAAGCTCTGGAATAAATTGCCTAGGGAGGTTGTGGAATCTCCGTCATTGGAGATTTTAAAGAGCATGTTAGAGAAACACATGTCAGGAATGGTCTAAATAATGCTTAGTCCTGCCAGGAGTGCAGGGGACAGGACTAGATGACCTCTCAAGGTCCCTTCCAGTCCTACGATTCTATGGTTCTATGATCATCATCTCCAAAGCCACAGTGTCCTGCAATCTTGACGCTAAGGAGCAGAGTGTGCTGGCCTTTGTTCCGGTGCACAGGTTGGCGGGAAGGTACGAGACGTTTTCCCTCCCCAAATTCCATTCCCGCCGCCTTGGACTCTGTGTAGGAACCCGCAGCAATCTCCATGACTGGTCTCCTTGACTTACAAGACAACCCCTCCAACTCCCCCGTCCCAATTTTTCACACTTGCTGTCTGGTCACCCTATGAACTAGAAAGTAAATAAAAAGAACCAAATTGTAGTTGTTTTTTTTTAAATCATGATTTTTAAGCCAATCGCTAGATTTTTGGAGGCCTGACTCCTGATTTTCAAATGTTTAGGATTGGGAGTGCTGAATTCCACCAGACTTTGAGAAGGTGTTTCTCTGTGGAGATGGGTATAAATTGCTGGACAGTCCCTCAAGCTGCAGCTTAGTTGGAGAATATCACTCCAGCAGGGAAATGCTGCATTTTATTTGCAAACTCCTACAAACTTCTAATAACATAGAACCATGAAATAGCACTTTCCATCGGCAACGTGTGTTAGAAGCATTAATGAATTAACCCTTTCAGCAGCCCAGGGAGGTTGGCAAGTATTATACCTATTTGATGGATGGGGACACTTTGGAGACAGAGAGAGGTTCAGAGCCGTTCAGCGTCAGAGCCAAGATTAGAATTTTAGAGCAAGATTTTCAGCCCCCACATTTGGAGCCAGATTGTCAGAAGAGGCCAGCTCCCACTGAGTGCCCAAGATAAGTGGCCAGGTTTTCAAAGGAGCTCAGCACATTGGGTGCACGTTGGTTGTTGAAGTGAGCAGAGCAAGGCCACGTCCCATCAGCTGAGGATCTGGCCCTGCCCTGGGACAAAGAGGAAAGAGGTGGCTATGTGAGCGTACACAGCAGTTTGCTGGTTTATTTTCATTCTTTGATAATGAGTAGAGCTTTTGTGACGGGCTTTTACAGATTTGGAGGGAAAGAAAGTAAGCAGTGTGACAACACGGATCAAAATAACCCGGCGTGTTATTCCTGGCCATAAAAGAGCGAACATTTCCGCACCTGATACTCAAACGGATGGGTCAGATTCAGCTGTCGGTGGCTTGCGCTGGGTTTATACCAGCGGAGTTGAGATCAGAATCTGGCCCCAGCCCTCTTCCTCTGAGCCTCCTTTGCACAGGAGAAAAAGCTGTTTGGGTCACAGTTTGGTTACTGAACCAAATCAAACTAAATAAAATCGCGAGTGGTATTTTTAGTTCACAAAAACAAGAAGGCAGTTGTCAGGAAGGAAAAAAAAAAAGAAAGAGAGGGAGAACACGTTACATTTAAATAACTGAAAGCTCTTAGTGTGAGATGAAAGCAAACTTCACTAACCTCTAATTTTCTTCAATTCTCAGCTGTACGCAGATCCAAGGAAATCAAATGAGATAATCCTAGCCTGGTGCAGTCTCCAAGAGGTGAAAACCTCTCAGAGCTAGAACAACCATAAGGCAGCTAGGACTCTGTCAAATTCCCCCTAAAGTATTTCCAAATAAAACACTTCTATTGCTCAGCTGCTCCTGCCAAACGAGCTAACAATAAAACAAGAACTTGCAAAGTTTCTGTATACAAAAAAAAAAAAGACAAAGAGCTCCCCCTTCCTCCTTCTTTTTTTTTTTTTTACTAAACAAACAAACAAAATTTAGGCCAAGTTCCCCCATCTGGTGTAAATCAGCATAGGTGCATTGCCATCAGTGGACTTATGTTGCTTTACGTCAGCTGAGGATCTGGCCATATATTATTTATACATTTCACAGGGGCGAGAGGCAGTCTCCACTGGGGGCTTTGCGACACTGCAGGATACTTTTCCATATTAAAAAGGCGCTTTCCAGCGTTTCGTCTATTGCCAGGCCTTTGGTTTATTGTTGACTTGTTTGGCAGAGCCATCCTGAAAGAACAATACAGATGTTTTATTGAGAAATAAAACGGGGATTCGGCTGGATTCTTTCAGTTTTAGTTTCCTTCTAATTTGGGGTAACTTTCCTTTTAATGAAGGGTGCAATCAAATCATTCACAATGAGCCAACCTGCCTCAGGCTGAAGGCCTAAGTAGACATACTGAGCCACTTTGTTTCAGAAGCCAATAAATCCTTGTCTCTTGACGGTGAAAAAAGCCAACTTTCATAGACCCCTCCCCACAATGGGAAACTGAAAATCCCCTGCCCTCCACTTCCACTGAGTTTTAATTTAGAAAAAAAACGATCTCTGATAAATACAATTTCTTTACAACTTAGAACAATAAATGATCCCCTATCCCCATAAAAGAGTCAGTGGGAGGCTTTCCCTTGGTAAATCTCAACAGTGGCTGGGCCAATGGGTCATCTTCTCTGGGACGTGCTCTATGCCTCCATGGTTCTATTTAGCATCGTTTTCAGAGCCGCAGCTCCCAATGCGGTGGAAGGTGCATCTTCTATGGCTGCTACATGGCCACCAAAGATGAGATCTTTGAAGGTAGCCTTGAGGGCATGAGAATTTCCCCAAACACCTGAGTCTCAGGCCAAAATCCCACAGTTAGGAAGGTGTGCCCCTTTCCTGGTTTATGACATGAAAGGAGGACAATGCTGAACTGTTAATAGATCCAGGTTTTATATATTGTCAGGTATTTTTACCTACCCAGTAATAAAGTCATTAAATAAACCAATCTTAAAATAACCAAAGTCATCAGTTTATAATCTAGAGAGAAATGAAAGCAGCATGCCTCTAGAGAGCATCCAACAATTTGATTCCCCACACATCCCTGCTTGTGCAGTCACCATTCCACCACACATGGAAAGGTTTTAGTTCCTTCTTTGGCACAATATCTGGTGTGCTCCCAGCCTTCATGCATTTCCAGTAGGATAACATTGGATAGGCCAGGTTGTATAGGACAGCTTTAAGAGATTGTGTCCTTTGAACATGTAACAATATGAAACATAATTTGCAGCCCACACATACAGTGGACATACATCAAAACTGGACAATTGTCGTTGGTAGTGAGAGAACATTAGCCCCAGATCAGCAGTATTCCCTAGGTATTCATTATACTTTTGGTCCAATGTGGAGGGAAAAGAAAGCTTGCCTATAGCTTGAGTAAAGAGCTCTGGAGACTTCACTCCTGATAACAACAATTCTCATATTTCTCTGTGGGGCTCAGTGTTTTGTCCAGCAAAGCTAAGAAAGAAAGATTTGAGCATTACATTGATGTGCTTGCCTTAAAGTTATTAAGAATGGACAGATCTGCTGAACTATGCTATAAAAACCTTTAAAGAAACAATAGAAAAGATTTGACAGGGCACATTGGAATTGGAGTTACACTGTCTTAAGGCTGATTCTAGGCCACTAATTAAAGAAATCACAGTGGTACGGAAAACCTTGCGGTACCAGAAAATAATACTAGGGCTAAAAAACCGACGCTGAGTAGTTGTTGTAAAAGATGGCTCAGAAGGAATTGGATGAGGTTACCAAGGAGTTTTTAAGAACTACTTTAGGGGTTGAGAAGTCTGGTCCTGATCTAGCAAAATACATAAGCACATGCATATCTTAAAGCATATGAGAAATCCCGTTGAAGTCAATCCAATTACTCACATTCTTAAAGTTAAGTGTGTGCATGTATTTTGCTGGCTTGAGACGTTAGAGAGAGAATTGAATCCACCTTTCAAAATGGAAAGAACATTTCTACTTCCAGAATCTGCCAG